TGGTTGGGGGTTGGAGCCGGTTTCTTTTGGCCTTGGGGGATTTGGGTTTTTTCCCGAAAACCACCTTTGGGGACCAACAATTTTTCCGAAACCGGGCGGAGCGTTCGGGTTTTTTGGTTCCCCCCCCTCTTTTCCCCCCCCATTTTTGGGGGGTTTTTTGGGGGGTGGGTTGGGGGGGAGGGTTTAGGGGTTCAACCCCCAGGCCGCCCGGTTTTGCCCCCACCCCCATTTCCCTTAAAAAAAAAAAATTGAAAACCGGACCTTTTTCCCAGGGCCACCTTTTTTTTTTTTCCTTGGTTTCCCCCCCCCCCCAAAAAAGGGTTTTTCCAAAGGGCCAGCACCCCAACCCCCCCGTTAGGGGGGTTTGTTTCCGAGTTCCGGGTTGGGGCCCCCGGGGTTTTCTTTGGAGTTCCCCGGCAGCCCCTTGGGGGGGGGGGGGGGGGGGTCGACAGACAGAAGAACGGAGTGATGGCGAGAAAGTGGTTTCGGTTTCCGCACAAACCGGATCAACGGTCCAATGCACTTGTTAAATCCTACAGCGACGGGTACATAGTACACCATGGAAATACTTTTTATCTCCGCACTTCCATAGAAAACGTAGGCAAAACCGCCGCACTCTCCAGAACCCGCGAGCTTGGTGTCGTTTCGGACACCCGCCGGTGGTCGACTCCCGGCTCTACCCTCCCTCAGGCCTTCCCCGAGCAAACGCCTCAAATCAGAACACAACCGGCCGACCACTTCTACCCGTGGAAATAAAGGGCGGCTCCGCAGTGCACCCGTGGGTGCAATGAAATAAAGGACGGCTCCGCAGTGCACCCGTGGGTGCAATGCCCCACACCCCTACCAGTCCAACACTCGAGAGGCGAAGGGGAGGGGGGCAGTGCGCATCCCACCCCCGCATGCATGCACTCCGGGAGCCAGCCGCCTTGCCAACTACCACCGATAGCATGCGCCTCCCATCTCCACACTCGCTGAGAAGCAAAAAGGTCACACCACCACGCAAGCATAAAAAAAAAATGGCACGATTGAGCGCACCACCCACCTTCACACCGCGTTGGTTGGGGGGGCAGTTCGCCGGGTGCGTGAGGGGGATCGGCACTTTGTCCGCCCCGCTGCCGTCCGGGCGGTGCTTGAGGTAGCAGGGGGGAAGCACGGAGCCATACTGGGAGAGATAGGTGTCCAGGTAGCGAGCGTTAAGCTCTGACGACGAGTGGCGACGGTAGAACAGTTTCTGTTTTTTGTTTGTTTCCCGTGGCGGCAGGGTGATGGTGGTGCAGTTGAAGGCGCCGTCGGATAAACGCGTGTTGGGTGAAAGGAAAAAGAGGCAGAAGAACGGGCATCCGGTGGGGAGAGGGTCAATAATCGTGTACTCAAGTAGATACGACACGTGGGGCACTTGGACATTCTGGGGGGGGAGCGGTGGACAGAGGCAAGTTGGGGTATAGAGGTAATGCGGCGTTCCGTGTTGGCGTTCGCTAGAAAGCACCTTTCCACGCGACGATTAGAACGGGGCAAGGCTTGAGAACGTTCTCACGACTGTCCCCCATCCCACCGTCACGTCGCAAGGTGTTGTGTTCTTCTAGGGAAGCAACAAGACACTCGGGGAAGCAACTCCTGCTGAGGAAATCCCCACCCCACGCCAGCGGCCCGACGCCAATCTTGCTTCATTGTTTGTTTTACGGCCTTTGTCTCCCTCGGCATAGACACGAAACGCTAACCCGCGGCAACAGTTTTGACCAAGCAGCGAGGACACCGTCCGGTTCGGTTCAGCCATGTTCGAGCACGTCTGCCGATGCAAAAGGACCAACAAATCTGGCCTGACATAGTAGTGGCCGTAGAGAAAACTCAGAGTGGGCAGACGGGCTTGTCAGTGTTTCTCACTGTGCGGGTTTGCCTTGTCGACCGCTTGTCCACCTCAATTTGTCGGGACACTAGCCCCAGAAACTTTTGAGACTTGCGGGTACGGTAAGCAAGTGTTCGTATGATCCCATCTTCACTAGAATGTAAGGGGCAGACGGGAACCGCGTAGAGACAATATGAGACGGACAGACACACTCTCAACCCTAAAGAGCAGCAGGGTTGGCTACACAGAAAGGTAGCTGCCTGAAGGGCAAGGGGGAACTGTTTCTCACCGAGTCGCTGATCTCTTCCCACGCCCCTAGGCCCATCTTCTTCACCTGGTCCATCAGAGATAGCTCCTCTGCCGCGGTCCAGTCCTCTGGAACCAAGTAAAAAAAAAAAAAAAAACAGTATGGTCCCCCGGCTGTGTTGCCCAGGCGCTGGAATGGTGTTTTGAGGCGTTTGGAGGTCGTCCATGTTCACTTGCTGGATTTCCGAGTACCCACTTTTGTCTGGAAAATAGATGGGTACTACAGCCTACATGTAGGTAACTAAACACATACAAAAAAAAAAATCCTTGAAAAATTGGCTGCTGCCACCGCTGCTACGGCGACGACCCATTACTGAATGTCAAGGCACCCACAGCAGCGGCCGGCGGGGGGGGGGGCACTGCAAAATCAACTGGCCTTGGTTTCGACGGGGTGGTGGGTTCGCTCACCCGTGAAAATTGGCTTGTCGAGCTTGTCCATGACCCTGTATCTGTGCGTCTTCTTGTGGCCGAGGGGTTCCATGCCGGTGAAGAAGCAGGCCGCGCAAAGGTCTACCTCCTGCTTGCACTCCTCGCACCGAATGTAGCACAGCTAGTGGGACAGACACAACCATATTGCCACATTGATTCCACACGTTGGATTGCAACGCGTTAGGTCGCGGGTGCCACGCACCAAACAGCGTGGAGAATTGGGGTGCCCGTGATTGGGTGTGGAGAGGAAGTCGTTGCCAAACGAAAAAAAATTGCAGGGGACAAGAGGAAGAGACAAAGGCGTGCGGCGGGGGGGGGGGGGGGGGGGG